GATGTAACTACAGCTGATCTCCGAAGAATTTCAAAAACCATTTTTCACATGCAGCCCACACCTTGTTTCAGAAGAGCAGCCTGAATTTTAAAAAAAATGAGAAAAGAAAAAAAAAAAAGATTGTCCTTCCTGGTAACTCAGCAGCAGCAGCTCTTGAGCCAAGCCTGCTGCCAGCCTCATGTACCACATGGGAATGACCCAGTGTACTGGGTCTAGGACTGTGCTCCAAGTTGAACACCGTGAGCTGTCTCCAGCATATTGAGTCTGGGACCAAACGCCAGTGCTGGAGCCACATGCTGGGTTGGATTTAGCACACCAAATCCATTCTGAAACCACACCCCAGGTCCGAGGCTATGTGCTAGCCACATGCCAGTTCAGACCTTGCACACTGGCTCCAGGGCTGACCCCATGCACCAGCCCAATTAATCACATTGGGCCATATCATCTGGGTGGACAATCTCCCCACAGGTCTAGAAAATTGGCAGCAGGAAAGCAGTGGCAGTGTTAATTGCCATAGCTCCTGAAAAGGGGGATCCCTTTTCTTGCATATAATATACACCACACTTTTCACCAGCTGGTTTTGGGGGGAAAAGTGCAGGTAAATATTAGAAAATATTGTGTTACCACTACTTAGAAAAAGAGTAGTTTTTCAATTTTTAACAACTAAAGATTGTTTTTATTTTCATTTTATTTCATCTAAGCTTCAGGAAGGAATACAGATCTGATGAGTTTATTTACAAGCACACAATAAAATAAGTTGCTTTCGTTGGATCTGCCTTTGAGAACTATTTATATCATTTAAATTTTCTATCATTATATTCGTTTGCCTTTGCCAAACACTGAAAGACTGTGGTAATAGCTTACTGAATAAATTATGAAGTTATAAGAACATAAGAACTACCATTTACTGGGTCAGACCATAGGTTCATCTTGCCCAGTATCCTGTGTCATAAAAAATGGATGGTGAGGAAAAACATATTTCTATCCAACTGTACTACACCAATAAACTAAAGTAAAGCATATATCTGAAAAGGTAAATAACTTCTGAACTCACAATTCCATCCATTCTATGGCTGGCTTGAAATCAAAGAGTAAATATAAAAAACACCTATAATTAATACTAAATGTTAAATAATATTTAATTTGAATAAGGCTCTGATTCAGCAAAGCACATCAGCTCATGCTTCATTTTAAGCATGTGAGGAATTATGTTTATTTACGGGGGCATCTGCATAGATGCCTGTCAAGTTAAACTGATATGAAATGGCTACTACAGACCATATGTATAGTGTTTCAGGATTTGGGATTTAGTGGCTAATTGGCTATAAAAATTTAACTGGCAAGTCAATTTAGACTGTCACTAAACTTAAAAAAAAGAGTAATCCTACTTTTATTCAAAGACGTTAAACACAGGCATTAGTAGGGCATATGTGCATACAAGGATGGATCCTAGAGAGATGCAAGGGGGTGCAGTCAGCACATGGGCAGTAAGCAGAGCTCAATGGCTTATCAGTGCATTCCCAGAACCCAGGAGGTGAATGCTATAGCCTTTTCCCCTGCTGCTGAACATAGTGGTGGGCAAGAGGATGGGGGAGACAAGCAGTGGTAGCATTTACCCCCTAGATTCTGGAGCTGTACTAAAGCAGCACCTCTGCCAGGCTGGTCAGAGCCATACTCAAGCAGCACTGAAGCCATACTAAAGCAGGAGCTCAAGCAGCTCCCTGTGCAAGAACTGTGCAGTCAGCCCTCCCCTCCTGGATCTGCCCATGCGTGGATAAGTAATTATTTTGCTAACTAATGGCCTAAATGATTATCAATTTATGCTCATAAGAAAAGAAAATCCTTGTCAAGTGTGGTGTGAGGAGGGTGTGAATTATTATATATTTTAAATGCAATACATGGAATATATAAACTATGAATAGAATAGTCAATAAGGTAAATGAAGTGTTTTAAAGGTGGGGAATGTAAATATATTTGTGCATTTTCATGCCTGACACAGTCTTGTCACATCTCTTTTATTTTTCCAGAGACTTATGCTGTAATCCTCTGTACACAATTATATTCAATAAATAAAAGAAATAATATTGTCAACATTTTAAGTCAATTTAAAATCATTTTTATTACCAATTGATTTTTACTAAATATAAACCTTTGGAAAGCTTACTATAATTTGTGCATCCTCAGATTGCTCCTGTATGGTCTGTAAAGCTTTTGCCAGATCTTCATCACCTTCTAGGAGGCTAAATTCATCATCTGCTGGAACCTGAATCAAAACATAAATGAAGTAAAATTAAAATTAGGATACTGATATAGAATACATCACTTTTTCGTCCAATAGATAATTGTTTCAATCCCTTCAGCATAGGGTAGTAAAGAAAATACAATTTTTTAAAGGAAATATTTGGAGTTGGTGTTAAGGAAAGAATTATTGTTGCTTAATGCTGAAATATACACTACAGAGCAGTGGTCCTCAACCTTTTTTGTAGCTGGACCCATTTGTAAACATTACTGGCCAGTCCCAACCCCGTAAATAGTTTAAGCAGAACACAGCCCCCTGGCCCTGGCAGTGCCCCTCACTCCCAACCTGCTGCCTCCTGCCCCCAGGCCCCAGCCCTGCAGTGTGGGGGGAAGGAGGTGGGGTGGGGGGAGGTGTGTGGGGCATGAGGGGCCACAAACAGCCCCTTGCAAGCTGAAACTCTACCAAACTGCATGGGAAAACTCATGATTTCCCCCATTTTTCTTGCTTAAAGAAGAATCCATTTTTAAAGTTTGTTTGTGACCCTTTCATATATTCTTGTGACCCACTTTTGGGTCACGACCGATGAGTTGAGAAACGCTGCTATAGACAAAGAAAGCTCAGTATCAACTCCTGGACCACTGCCTGGCAGAAGTCCCAGAGACTTGAAGATTTCAAACTTGATCTCAAAAGACTTGATCCAAATCTCACTGAACTCAATGCAGATCTTTCCAGTGACTTCAGTGGAAGATCAGGCCTTGCTTCCGACAAAATAGTGATTGCCATTTTTTTTAAAGATTAATTACAAGGCTTTTATACAGATCATGACCTTTGAGCATGGATCACAGAGAACAGAATGCAAATTAAGAAACTGAAAAGCAAACCCAAAGAAAGCATAGGTATATGATATAAACATATCTAAATATGTAACTGTATTTAAATAAGCAGGTAAATGAAAGTTCACTACAAATTAGCTGAAACCAGCTAAAATGAATAATTGGTATTTTTCGGAACAAATTATGCAACTACAAATAAAACAGCAAGTCAACTGATACTAGCTCCTATTGTAAAATATATATATATATATATATATAAGCATGATATACAACACATTTTATAGTATTTTATAGTATTTTAATATATATTACATTTTGTAGTATTTTAAATAAGCTGTACTGCTTTGTCATTAGGATCTCATAGTGGCTGATGCACATAAAAAAGAAGAGATGGATCATGTACCACAGGTATCACTTAAGACCATCTCCTAACTAGATTACCTCTTCATATTGATAATCATCTTCAGAGTCTTCTGTTATGGTAACCTCTGGATATTTTGTCAAGTCAAAAACAGCTGACATATGTGGTAAATTCCACAGAATTTAGACAGTTTTTGAAATAACTGCAAAAAAATAAAGCAAAACAAACAAACAAACAAAAACCCAGCTGTCTATAAATCTCAGCTTCTCCCTTGGTCTCCATAAAGTCAAACTTCATGTACTCAGGGGTAGCTTCAGCCCTTGGATGTACATATGCAATTCTAATGAAGTTTGGATTTAACACTCAGACTTCTTATAACAGGTTTATACGGTATTAAAATATCACCTCTTTATTTTGCTACCATTAGAAATGAGTTTCTTAACAAACTGTGGGCCAAATTCTGTTCTCAGTTAGAAAGCCATTGCATCATAGTGGTTAACTGCACTGCCTTTAAACCTCTGAGTTAATTTTGCCCTTTCTGAATAGATATTTTAAAGCAGATTTAGAGATATGATATCACAAATGTACATCTGAAGATCCATATTCTGGGACAGAACACAAGTAAGTTAAGCACTGAAGCTCCTGTTGGACCCTCAGAACAATTACTGTAGCTGTACAGTAAAAGACCTAAGAGGAACATTCAATTGCAGCAGTGAACCTTGTAAAATGTAAAACTGAATTGGAAAATTGTTTATGGCTCCTCTAAATTCAGTACAACCCATCTTTCCTGTAGAGACAACAAGAAAACAGCGCAGTTTCCTTGAAACAAGAGGCTAAAGTAAATATTTCTCATTCTAAATAAACAGGAATTGGCATGTCTCTTGAAAGTGCAACAAATGTGTTTGTTAGTATGGCAAAGGGTTGATTATGTCCTCAAGCATTCAGTTAACACTCATTCATCTTGTGTAAATTTAATATTAAAAAAAATTCATGTTGAGAAACAATTCTGGAAGAAAGCTGGCAATAAATTATGTCATACATTGAGATTTCATATGGTAACCCCTTTATGTAACACAAGTTGAAATTAAACAAAAGGTAAGGTAAGAGACATGTTTTTTGTTTTAATATTCCCAACCAGATTCCTAGATCTTAACTCTAGGTGCAAGCAAGTTTTTACTGCTATATTCAGGACAGAAACAGTATAGCTATACTAGGATATTCAAATATGCATCCTGCATCAACAAAACTGTCAGCTAAATTCCAAGAAAACTGTTAAGAAATATCAACTCCCTAGAACGTTTGTTTGGCAACCACGTACTAAACAGAATAAACGAAGCATAAATCTCAGATACCAGCTTAATATAAAGTTGGAGAGATCTCATTTTCTCTTGTAAACCACAAAATAAACAGAGTAGCCATTGAGTGAATAAGGCCTGATTTTCAGTGATCAGGTCAATGAACAGTTGCACATACCCAACTGCATGACTATGCTGAGTGTATTATTGTAGAGGTTCCCAGCTCCCGGGCCACAAAGGGTTGGCTGCCAGTCCACAGGGTTGGCTGCCAGACCGGAAGTCCGGAAGAGACTGGCATACTGCGGACCAGAAGCAAACCCTTTTCTGTACTGGTCTGCAGTATGCTGGTCCCGTCACTTCCAGTCCACGGTCTAAAAGGGTTGGGAACCACTGTATTATGGCATACATGTATACTGTATATACAAACTAGGTATTTGCAAGAGCTTTTTACAAAATAATCCACAAGCTATGTAAACCTCCAAGCTTCTTGTGCAAATTCAGTAATGCACATGAATGGAAATACACAGGTCTACCAATTGAAAGACAGAGCCAGGGACTGGTATATTCAAAAACCTTTCTGCACCTAAGCTTCTCTCTGCAAATGTTTTGTTCTTAATTCTAAGGATTTAGTCCAAAATAGTTTGTCTTTTAATGAGTGTGAGCTTGTTTGCCTTTATTCAAGAAGAAAGAAAAACAGGAAAAAAAATCCAAACTGTTAGGTTTCCTTAACACACTGTTTTCCTTAACACCAGGACAAAACTGCATGAACTTCACTGACTTTAATGGGAGGATTGAGAAGTATGTGCTCAATGTGTCTACAAACTCCTGGTAGAGTATCTCAGCAGCATGTCAGAACAGGCATGGAGAACAGTTCTGGTTTGGAAAAGGCTCTTAAAAGCCATCTACTAGCCATCAAGAGCTGTGGCTCTAGACATCCAGGCAGCTGGCTAGCTCCTGAGCATCTGTTTCCCCACTGTCAGAGACAAATACAGATGAGGCCTCACACAATGAACTGCCTTTCTTCTTTCTGACCCTAAGCAACAACTTGTAGTGTCTGAAATCTCCATTCCATAAACTGGTCCAGGAACCAAATATTGTGGAGACAGAATGGCAGACAGAGCTGCAAGGCCGTTGCTATTAAAGAGTTCACAAGACAGAAAAGGAAGGGAGAAGAGTTCCCCATGCATTGCTGGGCAATAGTGCATCCACTATACAGACAGCAAAGAGCAGAAGAGCCAGGGAAGCCACGGGCTACCTGTGCTATCCTAGAAGCAGAGGACCCCTGGAGATAGTCAGGGTAGCAGGAACAGTGACTGGTTAAATTAGTGCCTTGACAGACAGACACATGACAATCCATGCTTCCCCCGCCAGGCCAAATCAGCTCCAGATTCAACTGGGAAAAGCCAAATAACCAGGTTCCAAAATTTGACCGAGCAGAACTCAATCATCAAGTGTGGCTCTACCGTGGGGCAAGCATCCTTCCTCCCTCCCTCCTCCATTGGTCTGGGGCTTTGGATACTCCCCAAATTCAGGCAGGCATCCTCTAGGTGCAAATCTGGCCTTGGGATTCAGATGCCCTCCCCCCCCACCTTGATTGGAGTGAAATTGTACAAAAGATAGGGCTTGGCAGAGGCCATCCAGCTCAACCCTGTGGTCCAAGCAGGACCACCTGTCTACTCCCACGTTTCTGAACCTGCTCCAACTCAAGGCAACCCCCCCAAGGGGCTCAAGGCCCCCCTCAGAAACCATCAGCTCTGCCTCCCCCCTCCCTTGGTGACCATGGGGAAGCCATGGGAGCAACTCTCCTCTTGCAAAGAGCTGCAGGAAGACCAGCAGCAGAGCGGGGTGCATTGGCACTACAGCGGTCTAGGGCAAATCTCTCGCCCGGTCCCCGGTGGGGAACCACTGCACTGCGCCCTGCGGCTCCTCCCCAGGCCTCTGTGGCATGCCCCGTATATTGCGCTGCAGCACGTTACACATATTACGTACATGTTACGCATATTGCAGTGCGGCACGTTACCATATAGTGCACTGCAGCACGTTACGTATATTGCGCCGCGGCTAGTTACACATGTATGTAGTGCAGCGCCATATATATAACGTATATTGCGCCGCGGCACGTTACGTATATTACGCAGATTGCGCTGTAACACGTTAACAGATATTGCGCCGCGGCACGTTACGTTTATTGCTCAATGGACTGGGGCGCCCATCCCGCCCCGCTTCCTTCCCCCCTCCGCTAACGGCCTCCCGCCGCCCCTCACGGGCGGCGCGGGGAGGATACGCTGCAGGCAGAAGGGCCCCTCCGCTCCGGCCGCCGCCTCCGTGTCCATCGCCGCCCGCTCCCCCGCCACTCGCGCGGTTGCTAGGGACGCCCGGAGGTCTCGCGAGATCACTCCCCGCCGCCCACCGCCAGTTGCTTTCTTCCACTCCGTTCTGCCCGGAGGCGGTTAGCGAAGCGCTGCGCTTTGGGGGGAGGTGAGAGCAGGGACTGGAACAGCCCGACGCCACCTTGTTGCCGTGGCAACCAGCGGCGTGGCTGCTCGGCCGGGGTTTCGATGGGACAACGCTAGTCACGGACCAATCGGCGTGGCGGGGAGAGCCCCCAAGCCCTGCCTCCTGTGACGCGTGTCCCGCCCCATGAGGGCTGGTGCGGGCGCAGGGACTGACCCTGTTTCTCTGCAGACGCAGCCGCGCTTCGTGCACCTGCAAAGAAGCAGCCTGGGGGCGCCCTTCTCCCAACTCCGTGTGAATAGTCAGTGCAGCTCTAACGTACTCTTCCCCCTCGTATCTTATTTCTCTGGGTCACCTATTGGAAATAAGAGGAGCTAGTTTATTTCACAGGTGCTGCAGTACCACAGCAGTTGACCCATGTAAAGAGCGCTGCTTGTAGCAGAGGTGTCCAGCTGGCAGCCCAGTAGCTCCTGCCTGAGCACCACTGCCCCCATTGCTGTGGCACTGTAATACCAGGCTGGCAGATGCCTGGAGTGGCTGGAGCAAGCTCTGAGGCCCTCTCCTGGCAGCAAAAATACATTTAATGTGTCAGGCCTCACATCGAGGACGTAGCAGCAATTAAACAGATGAGAACAGATTTTTTTTTTAATTTTAATTAATATATTTTGTGTTCCAGGTCAAATCAGCCAAATCAGTTCCAAATCGTATCAACTGAGGAGAACTCAGTCGTTCCAAAAACCATATTGATTGAGCAGGCAGAACTCAATCATTCTGAACACCATGTACAGCGCTACAACTGGCAAGCATCCTCCATCCCAGGCTGTCACCTTGGGACTTTGGATATTCCCAAATCCATTAGCAGGCATCCTAAATGCAGGCCCAAGCCCAGACGTCTTGGGATTCTGATGCCCCCATTTAATCTGGCTGCTATAGTGATCAGGAACATTTGGCATCCATCTCTCTTCTGGCTTTGCTTCCTGCCCCGCTCTTGAGGGCAGGGTGGTGTGGTGGGGCGTGGTGCGGTGCAGGTGGAGCCTGGGAGAGGCCTGTGATGCCCACAACCTGCAAGCAGCTGTGGGGAAAGGAAGCAGGCTGCCCATGCAGCAAGGTGAGGGGAGCAGGGTTGAATTACAGGGGAACTGGGGGGAGGGGCTGAGCCCCCTCATAAGACATGAAAGACCCCCTATCAGATTTGAAAATCATAACCCGGAGAGGACTCTGATTTTATTAGGGAATTGTGATGCACAGCCTAATTATTTTTGCAGACACCCCACCTCGAGAGTCAGTGTAATTTGAACCCTGGCAGGAGGAGTGGGGTACTAGGATGGCGGTCCCCACAGTGTGCAGCCCCTGCAGTATGCAGCCCAAGTGCCTGCAGCCTGCAGGGCCTACAGTCCCTCCACTGCCCAAAAGTTGAACAGCCCTGGTTTACAACATTGCCTGTGTTGTAATATTAGCAGTCCTAAAATGAACTAGCTCTCCTCATTTTCAAGGGTTCTAATAGGTGATCCAAAGGAGCTCTTCCTTCACTGTTGCCAGCACTGTTACAGGTAGTCCAATGAGATACAAATGAGACAATTACAGTTACAGTCAGTAGTTCACCAGAGTACAGTTAATTTACAAAGTAGGCAGTGACATAGAAAGATGTTATGCAGATAATTGTTATGCAGATAACTGAAATTTGTTGCAAGTAAGCAACTAATACATCTATCCAGGACACACATAAATCAAGCACATTGTAATATGGACTTTCTTATATTTAGGACTAGAATTCCCACCTGAGGAATCTCGCATAGTGAATGAATGAATCCTAGACAGCTTAATCTGTCAATGTAATCCTGTTCCTGACATGGCTAAGACATGAGGAGCTTTCACCCATTTTTGAAAATGCTGACTGATTTACTGGCTCTTGAAATACACCCCAGGCTAGCCTCCTTGGCATGCTCATCACACAAAATAGTCAGGGATCTTGCGCAAAAGAAGAGGCAGCAGGGGCAGCTGTTTTTGTGCCCCCTCTAAATGGGCACCAGTGGCCCACCCATTTTTATGCTACTGAGCACAAGTAACCAGCAGTTCTCAAGCTCTGCCAGGCAACAGCTGCAATATTGACAACTGTTCTATTTAGTCTCAGATCTTGATATTGAATCTTTCTTAAAATCCCTGGGCATCCAGTTACATGATTATATGAAAATCTCAGCTTTTATTTAAAAATTAGCTTCTGGTCCTCATGGTTTGAGAAAAAAACTAGATAATATGTACCCTAGAGCTTCAATAATCAGAAGGCAAACAACAAGAACTCTAAGTATGTAATTGGCTTAAATGACTTTTTTGTCTTTTTGTTATCATTATTATCATTATTAATAATAATAATGGTGATGATGATAATAATTTGAGTGCTTCAGACTGAAACATTGAAACACTTCATGGCATAGCTTATTTCCTATGATTCTATTCTAATAAATAATACTTTGTTTGCACTTTTATAAAAAACTTTTCTGCTCCAAGTTCATTATAGATATTCAATAATTATTAGTGAATGGTAGTTAGAGTTTTATGCTCCTTTTATAAGTAAACTGTCACAGACTAGCTATGAATTTTTCACCAAGAATTTTACAATGAGTCACTGGCTGAACCAAGAAAAGAGCCTATGAGTCATTCTGAATTGTAGATGATTTTTTAAAACCAATTTGTAGTTTTATTTTTGGTGACCTTTTATATAGATTATCATATTGCCTGGAAAGAAGGAATGAAAAACAGAGAAAAAATAAACTTCTAGTGCTTACACTTTATAGACTAGAGCTAATTATCCCTTTAGAGAAAGTAAAAACTTTGTAGCTGAAACAGATGTCCTGAATCTTATATTACACTTCAGTCTATACCTGAGGGGATTATTTGTTCAAATTAAGTTCCTATAGTATGCTATTTCTCTTAAGTTTAATTAAAGGGAAGGGCAAGAATGTTGAGTTCACTGTTATGTACATTCTCCTCAAATATACAGTATATTATAAATTACCAAGCCTAATGACTTCTTCCTTCTCTTAAATTACTACTGGTATGAGACCGAGGTCCTTTGGAGTCAATGGGAATCTTTTAATTGAATTCACAGGTTTGAGAAAAGACCCAGAGGACCTAGTTCTAAATTCATACTAACTCAATGAAAATTACACACACAGGGTTACAGGATCACTTGGTCACACAAAAGTTATTGAATTTGTGTACAATACCTGAAAAGACAAATCCTAATATCTCTCTGAAAATATGTATTAAAGAAACTGCTAATAGTCAACCACAGAAGAGAAGTACTGATTTTACTAGCCAGGTCTGGGAATTCCTCAGGCAATAAAATATACAGACTGAGGATCGCACAAATCAGAGGTAAGAGAAAAAAACCCAACATATACATATCACATCATCAAATCGAGTTTTCCTTCAAATTAAGACTATAATCATTAAATAGGATGCCACGCAATAAGATGTGGCAAACAAAATGCTAAATTAGCAAACTTACTCTCAGTGGGCTGACTGCCCTTTTTATTTGCAGAGGCATAAATATTATGGGATGTGCAGTTTCAATATCTCTGAACAGTGGTGTAACAGCCTTTGAGTGTTTTTTCTAAGGACTTTGCTACAGTGTCTTACAGCAGTAGTGGGAAAGTGGTGGTTATATTGTTTACTGCTCCTTTGCCTCCTAGCTAGATGTTTTCCTTAAGTAAATCTTACAATTCCTTTAGTCCCAGAGTTTCTGAGTGTAGTCTATGATACTGTTTTCGTTTTGCTTCTCTGCAGGAGAATACTCTGCAGAGTAAATTTGTTTATTCCAGCCTAACAGGGGTACACGTGTAGATATGCAATGTTTACTGCACAGCTAATTAGTCTACTGTTCAGTAAATGTCTCATGCAGACGCACCCAAAATGTGCTTCATTACAACCAAATATGAGAGCCTACCTCTTAAGACAAGAGAACACAGGTCATTATTACAGAGCACTCCATCTTGGGACCCAGTAAATGCTAGCTAAAGATAATGCCAGGATAATCAGATGAACATGAGCTCTCAGTGTGATTTTTGTGGCCAAAAAGGCTAATGTATATATAAAACAATGTAGAGTTGGAGCAATGAAGTTATATATGAATATGAGCCAGCAGTGTGACTCTGTTGCCAGCAGGGCAAATAATACTCTGGCATGCATCAATTGATGCATCTCCAGGAAGACGAAGGAGGAGATTCTTCCTCTCTACTTGGCACTGGTGAGACCCCAACTGGAGTACTGCGTCCAGTTCTGGGCACCACACTTAAACAAGGATGTGGTACAACTTGAGAGTGTCCACAGAAGGGCCATCCATATGATTAGGGGCTTGCATGGCAAGCCATACAAGGAAAGGCAGAGGGACCTGGGACTCTTCAGCCTGAAAAAGAGAAGGCTGAGAAGGAACGTGGTGGCAGTTTACCGCTACAACAGGGGAGTACATCAGGGGCTCAGTGAACAACTGTTCACCAGGGTGCCCTTGGGGAGAACCAGGAGTAATGGCCACAAACTCGTGGAAGATCTTTTCAGGCTCAACTTTAGGAAAAACTTCCTCACAGTCAGGGTGTCCAGACTGTGGAATTAGCTCCCTCCAGAGGTGGTGCGATTGCCTACCCTGGAAATCTTCAAGAGGAGACTGGACAGTCATGTTGCTGGAGTCACCTGACCCCACCTGTCTTTTCTGCCTGGTGCAGGAGGCTGGACCTAATGATCTTCCAAGGTCTCTCCCAGGCTTACAATCTATGAATCTATTAATCAATCTATATTCTCTCTATATTTGGCATAAGTACCATCACTACTGGAATACCATGTACATTTCTAGTGTATAGAATTCAAGGAGACTAACTGGAATGTGTTCAGGAATGGATTGAAAGAAATGCCATAAGCGTGAGTGCAGCTGAACTACCCTAGATAGACAGAAGTTAGAGTTCAGGAGACAACAAACAAACACCAGGTTGCCAAGTCAAAGGGCAAAGAAAAGGACAAGGCCAGGTTCCAAAGGGAATAGCCAAGGAATCAAGCCTAGGGGCAAGAGCTGGAATCTGGAAGTCAGAATGTAAGATAAGACAGGAACCAGAGGCTGGAGATAAATTAAAGTCCAGGAATAAAGGCAGAAGCCAGAGACAAGGTGAGGAATTGTATCCAGGCTGAAGTTGTTTATAGATTGGAAACAGTGCATTGTACAGCAAAGATGAGATGCTAGGGGAGTTCCTTAAGTGTAAGCCAGAAACAGGAGGACTGAGAAAGAACCAGCTTGAACCCAGCTGAGCCAGTTGGATCATTCAGGTAATACAGGGACTTAACTGTTACAACAAGAAATATTAAAGGATTGGCATACATACATGCATAAAATACATGAATGTTTCAAGGATTTCAATCTATTTCATTTCTTCAAAGAGGTATTTAAGGGGAGACTTATTTAAAGTCTGTAACTTAATAGGGAACAAAAGGTTGACGATAGATTACTACAATTTAGTAGACAGAATTATAAGAATAATCAATGACTGGAAGTTGAAGTTAGGCAAACTGACACAAGAAAGAAGGCGCAATTTTTTAAAAGTAAAGGTCCAATTATCTATTGGACTGGCTTCCATGTGTTATGGTGAATTTTGCTTCACTGGAAATGTGTAAATCAAAATG